CATTTTTTCATTTTTTTATTTTTCCCAGTACAGGGGATTGAACTCAGGACCTTGCATTTGCAAGGCAGGTGTGGGGTCACTGAGGTAGATCCTTGGCCCTGGAATTATATTTCAATCAGCAAACATTTATCTAGTCTAATATACTCATTAAGCAATAGATAGAGGATTACTATGTGAAAAAAACGTAAAATTGTCAATAAGAGTGAAAAAACAAAGATGGGACAATACATTTAAGAAAACATGTTATTTTATAGAATTTTACAAATCCTCAAAGTTTAAAATTCAGACATGTTGTGTAGTATCCTTATTTCCTCTGAATTGTATTTCCATTGAGAGTCATATTTCTTATACAGCATAAATACCTGTTCTACAAGCTATATTCTAACTTTAGTGAATGTTTTATTTTATTTGATGAATCAGTTTTGCTCTGGTTGGAGCATTTGCTTAATCCATTTAATGATTTTTTGGTATATAGAATATCTGATGGACTTGTTCTCATCATAGTTACAAGCTGTTTACCAAGTTTGACACTGTTCTTTTTCTGGTTAAGAGCTGCCATTTTTTTCAGTTCTTATATATTTTTCCTTCTTCTAATACCATTACTTGCACTTTGGCTTTCTTTGGTGGTGGGAAGGAAGGAGATACTTTTCATAAAGAACCTCAGGTTGTTTTGTTTGTTTTGGTATCAGGATTGAACTCAGGATCTTGCACTTGCAAGGCAGGCAGCTGCACCACTGAGCTAAATCCCTGGCCTCAGGGGTTTTTATCCCTGGCCTCTCAGGGTTTTTTTTTTTTTTTTTTAATGTTATAGTCATTATCTTTGATCTTTTAAGAAGTAAATACATGGATTTTTTTTTTTTTTTTTAGCCTTTCCTTGAGCCTAAGCACCTCCATTGTCTTAACAAAGTTATCTTATACACAGTCCCCAAAACAGTGGCCTGGTCTTTTGTATATAGCTGTGTACAGCTAGCTAGCTTAGTAGCTTCTGTATGTGCCTGTGTATACCCATGCATTTCTAGCCCCTTGAACAAAATATCAGGAGCATCTGTGACGATTTGAGTGATATGAGGCTGTGCTATACGAACAGACTAATACTAGTTGGGGACCTGAAGCAACTTTCATGAGATCTTAAGAAACCTGATGTAGTTATTTATATAATGTTATAAGGTTGTTATGTGAGTGTAATTCGGGGCTTTAAATGAGAGATTGGTAGCTGAGGGATTCCTGTAAAGGGAAATCTGCATTTAGGAGTGAAGGGATTGTTTTGAGAAAGATTACACTACAATTTCCCGTAGCATTTCAGAGGTTATATGTAATCTAAAATAAAATTCCTTATCTTTTTTTAAATCAGATGATTGAAAATGAATAAAAATAGTACAGATTTTTTAATAAGGAAATTTTCGTAAAACCTACTAGTTTGTTGAAAGGTAAAACTAGCTGTGAAATAAATACCAGAATTTTAAAATTAAACATCTCTACTTGTTTCCAGAGTTAGACATCCCTCTGTATTTTGTTTTTATTTTTTCATTCACTGATTTTGCCACTAATTGTGTTTCTGGTTTTATGTGCATATATCATACGCTACTGGTACTCATGTTCTGTGCAGTGTATGTTACATCACTGGCTACAAACTTATTTCTCTTGTCACTGCTTCAATCCCAATGTCAGTAACTGCTTGGCATTGCAGTAGTTTCTTTGTTAATATTGTTAAATAAATGAATGTGACTTTGATTGTAGCGTTAATCCTCATTGAAGAATGCTCTGGGGGCTGGGGATTTAGCTCAGTGGTTCTGCTGCTTGCGTCGCAAGTGCAAGGTCCTGAGTTTGATCACTGGTACCAAAAAAAAAAAGAAGAATGCTTTGTATTTTAGCTTTTTTGTGGGTGTACGTGCGTTGGTCTTACATGCTAACGAGATTGGAAGTGCATTTTGAATAAGGGCTTGGTTCTCATTGTCTTTTGTATATTCTCCTCTGTAATAATTTGGAATGTGGTGAACAGTACATATTCCCAAACACATGACTGAACCAAAACATGTTGGTAGATTTTATTTCCTTATCAGGAAACTGCTAAAAATACAGTCATAAGTGAAGAATTTGGAAGAGATTCAAAACTTAGTGTGTACTCATATGTTGGCTTGTAAGGCCTGTGTAAGACTGCAAGCTTCTGTGCAGTAAAGAGCTTGGGTTCTGGGACAGCTGCTCCTTACTCCTTTACTGGCCCCTTGCCTCACTTTTGGCCTTGTAACTGTCACAGATGATGTGAGTCAGTGAATTTTTCCAAATGTCCCAGATCAGCAGTGTTCACATCACCAGGTGAGTACATGGTAGAAACACAGATTCCTAGGTCCATCTCCAGGCCTCCAGAACTGGAACCCTGGAGTGGAGCCCAGGCAGTACGTGTTTTAACAACTCCCTAGGTATCACCAAATGATAACACTGTCTTTAAACAAGAGGGCTGGAGGTAATGATTATGTGCTAGAGAAGAGACAACTAGCAATCTATATTAAGGAGCATAAACAATCCAAAGCATTTCGAGGGAATAGGTATAGTTTGTCTCAAGGCATTAAGATAAAAAGCAGATTACTGAAATTTCATTTTTTTTCTTAAGGTTAAATACAGCGTATTATCACATTTTATCTTAGAGTTTTATAAAAGTGAATGTCCTTTCCCTTCCATAGGAGGTAACTGAGGAAAAATTAGAAAGTATCCAACCCAACTGTCAACTTGTATATTTTTCTTTTTGAATATACTTCTTTGGTGATTTCAATATTACTGGAGTTTGAACTCAGGGCCTTCTCAATGAGCTATATCCCTAAGTGTGTGTGTGTGTGTGTGTGTGTGTGTGTGTGTGTGTGTGTGTGTGTGTTTTTCCGGTACCAGGGATCAAACTCAGGACCTTGCATTTGCGAGGCAGGCAGCAGAACCAATGAGCTAAAATCCCTGGCCCTGTCATTTTCTTTTGATGAGACTATTTTGTTGTGTTTGAAACAGGGTCTTGCTACCTAGTTCTGGTTGGCCTTGAACTCACTATGTAGGCTAGGCTTGGGGCAGTCTTCCTGTTTCAGCCTCCTTAGTGCTGAGATTGTAGGCTTTGTCATCACACCCAGCTGACATTACTTTCATTTTATCAGCTTAAAGTGAGTGTGTCATTTTACTTAAAATGATTATCTTATTGTATGATACATAATTTCAAAATGTATGATCATTGAAGCAGGGGTATTTGATGCCTTTTCTCTGTGTATACAGTTGTGTTGTTTTCGGACTATTCAGATAAATGTCCTTTTAATTGGATTAATGTAAGTTTTAATAGCCCATTGAAATGAAAATAAAAATATTATAATACCTACGTGTTGAAGGGTATAAGAAGACTGGTAAGTGGGATTTTATGTTCATTTTGGTACTGAATATAAGTAGAATTGTCTTACTCAAGTAGAATTGTCTTATTCAAATTAAGCAGGATTAAGTTTACTTACTAAATCCTTATAATTCAAGGGTGTAGTTAAGGTCATCCTTAAATGTGAAGTTCTTAGCTGGGCATGGTGGTACGTGCTGTAAACCCAGCACTCCAGAGGCTGAGTCAGGGGGATTGCTGGAGTTCAAGGCCAGCCTGGGCTACATAGTGAGTTCAAGGGTAGGGTTTTAGCTCAGTGGTTCTGGTGCCCGCCTCATAAGTGGCAAGAGCCTGACTTCGATCCCCAGTACCAAAAAAAAAAAAAAGTAGTGAGTTCAAAGTCAGCCTGAACTGCATAGTGAAACTCTATCTCAAAAAAAAAAGTGAAGTTCTTGCTTACTTGAATGGAAACATCATGAATATAAAAATGACATTGTTATCTGTTTTGCTGGGTTAATATAATAAAAATTGGGATGGGGAACATGTGAGAATAATAAAATTGATAACTATACTTAAGGAACCTTAAATAGAGCACCTACTTGACTTTTACAGGTATTAGGATTGTTTGGATGAATTAGTTTAATTTTTGAGGTTGATATATTTTGTGAATACTTACAAAACAATACACATTCAGGATGTATGGGGTTTCTGCCATATTGACTTTTTAAAAAATAGATTTGCTAAATGTTAGACCAGGAACTACTGTAAGCATAGAAGTATTTCCTGATTTTAGTGAAATAGTTTAATTAGTTAAGCCAGTTATTCTAGCATCATTAAATAACCCTTGATCTCTCCTATTCAGGACATATGTCAGGGCAATGTAGTTTCAGTTCCTTAAAGATACTATTTCAATTCTAAATGTCTTAATTATTCTGGAGAACAGCTTTTTACTGAAGATAAAAGATGTTTATAGTTTTATGTGACACGTTAGGGTTTTAATAATCTTTGAGGGGTGGGAGAATGGATAGAATACTATTATTGCTGACTTTCTGTTTTCCAACTTTGATTTTCTTTTTCTGCTGCACATTACATTTTCTTTTTTTGGTACCAGGATTGAACTCGGGACCTTGGCTTGTGAGGCAGGCAGCAGCACACCTGAGCTAAACCCTGGCCCCACATTACATTTTCTTATAGGGGGTTGGCTAGAAGGGTTGAGAAAGGGAGATATTTCTTGTTTGTAGGGAAGGTCCAGGATAAAGTCACTCGATGAGGAACCCCTAATAAATTTTTTATATATGGTGAAGCTTGGAAACTCTTTAATTTGCAGGGAGATTATAGGAGCCCTCCTGGCTTTATTTTCCACACTTGTTATAAAACCAAAGATAAACACTTGAGCAAACTGTTGCATGCCTTGCATATGTTTGTGGTTATATTAGTCAGGTTATAGGCCCTTAGAGAATATGGACTACAAGTTGTAATGTCCCAACTCTGAAGTAAACTGCATATAGATGTACTCAGTACTTTTCTGTATTTTACATACTTTGTGACAGATTCATAAAGGAAATGTATGTAGTTGTCCTATATTCCAAAGGCTCTTTCCTAAACTGAATTAAAAAAAATATGTATTTGTTTTAAACTGAAGTTCGTTATTCTCTCCTCTCCACAGGCCCAGATTGCCTTCCTTCAGGGGGAAAGGAAAGGTCAAGAAAATCTGAAGAAGGATCTTGTGAGGAGGATAAAAATGTTGGAATATGCTCTTAAACAGGAAAGGTAATTCAGTATTCAGTAAAATGGAAGGTAGTATTTATTCTTTTTTTTTTTTTTTTTTTTTTTTTTTTTTTTTGTTTTGACC